CGGGAGCTGAGCGAGGAGGGGGAGGAGGAGGAGGAGGAGGAGGCGGAGGAGGACGAGGACGAGGAGGAGGAGGAGGAGGGCAGGTGCTACTGCAGCGAGGACGAGCGCGCCGACGACTCCTACAGCGACCCGCTGCCGCCCGAGGACGCGGGCGGCTATGGCGCCGCGCGCTCCCGCGACTGCTGCGAGCGCGTGGTCATCAACGTCTCGGGCCTCCGCTTCGAGACGCAGATGAAAACGCTGGCCCAGTTCCCCGAGACCCTGCTGGGGGACCCCGAGAAGAGGACTCAGTACTTCGACCCTTTGCGGAACGAGTACTTTTTCGACCGGAACCGGCCCAGCTTTGACGCCATCCTGTATTACTATCAATCCGGGGGCCGCCTGAAGAGGCCCGTCAACGTCCCGTTCGACATCTTCACCGAGGAGGTCAAGTTCTACCAGCTGGGCGACGAGGCCCTGCTCAAGTTCCGGGAGGACGAGGGCTTCGTGCGGGAGGAGGAGGACCGGGCCTTGCCGGAGAACGAGTTCAAGAAGCAGATCTGGCTTCTCTTCGAGTACCCGGAGAGCTCCAGCCCGGCCCGGGGCATAGCCATCGTCTCGGTCCTGGTCATCTTGATCTCCATCGTCATCTTCTGCCTGGAGACCTTGCCCGAGTTCCGGGACGACAGGGACCTGATCCTGGCCCTGGGCGCGGGCGCGGGCGGGCCCGCGGGGCTGTCCAACGACACCTCGGCGGCGCGCGCGGAGGGCGCGGGGCACACGGTCTTCAACGACCCCTTCTTCATCGTGGAGACGGTCTGCATCGTCTGGTTCTCCTTCGAGTTCGCCGTGCGCTGCTTCGCCTGCCCCAGCCAGGCGCTCTTCTTCAAGAACATCATGAACATCATCGACATCGTGTCCATCCTGCCTTATTTCATCACGCTGGGCACGGACCTGGCGCAGCAGCAGCAGGGCGGCGGCCCGCAGCCGCCGCCGCAGCAGCAGCAGCAGCAGGCCATGTCCTTCGCCATCCTCAGGATCATCCGCCTGGTGCGGGTGTTCCGCATCTTCAAGCTGTCGCGGCACTCGAAGGGCCTGCAGATCCTGGGCCACACGCTGCGCGCCAGCATGCGGGAGCTGGGCCTGCTCATCTTCTTCCTCTTCATCGGGGTCATCCTCTTCTCCAGCGCCGTGTACTTCGCGGAGGCGGATGAGCCCACCACCCACTTCCAGAGCATCCCGGACGCGTTTTGGTGGGCTGTGGTGACCATGACGACCGTGGGCTACGGGGACATGAAACCCATCACCGTGGGGGGCAAGATCGTGGGGTCCCTGTGCGCCATCGCGGGCGTCCTGACCATCGCCCTGCCCGTGCCCGTGATCGTCTCTAACTTTAACTACTTCTACCACCGAGAGACCGAGAGCGAGGAGCAGACGCAGCTGGCGCAGGGCGCAGTCAGCTGTCCCTACCTCCCTTCCACCCTGCTGAAGAAGTTTCGGAGCCCCACCGCCTCCTCCCTGGGAGACAAGTCAGAGTACCTGGAGATGGAGGAGGGAGTGAAGGAGTCCCTCTGTGCCAAGGAGAAGTGTCCGGGGAAGGGGGGCGACGGCGAGGCGGAGAAGAACAGCTGTTCCNCGCCGCGCCCCCGGCCCGGCCTCTCCGGAGCCGCGTTCGGGCGGAGAGAGTGCGGCTGGGCCGGGGAGACGTGCAGATGAAGCCCGCGCGCCCGCTACGACGCCATTCGAGGGTTATACGTGGCAGACTTGTTACAAGCTGGGATTACCTATGAAATAAAGGATACATCTTGGAGAAGGGGGAGGCTTAAATAGGAGCAGATTAATCTTTATATTTTTTATTAGAATGCAAGAATTTTGCACATTAACTGGAAAGGATGTTAAAAGTGAAGATGATGTTGTGGGGAGAGCGTGCGTGTTTGTGTGTGCGTGTGTGCCGCGTGCGTGTGTGCGTGTGTGTGTGTGTAAGTAAATTGTCAACGTTTTTTAGTAATCGTGCAGTGATGGGAAAAGTTGGCATTTTGAAGTATTTACTATGTAAGAACTAATGAATCTGAAAAGTCATTTATCAGTGCTTTAATAGCATCTCATGTCTTTGGATTCCATAGATGTTTTTTAAAAATTGTTAAGAATTACTGTGTAGAAAAAAAAAAAAAAAAAGTGAATTATTTAATAGAATATAGGTCACGATTTTATCTTGGATTTAATTAAAGTTTATTTTTAACTGGAAATTAACTTTTAAAAAGGCTGCAGGGGCCTTTAGAAATTGATTATATTTTATTATTAATTTTGGGAAGATATGAGAGCAAATGCCTAACAATATGGGAGAAATGACATCTGAGAAAATGTAACAAGTTTTGTTCACAGATACCAGGATTGGATTTTTTTTTTTTTTTTTTTTT